ATTATCAACTTTGTCCACATTGAGGTCAAAAGGGTCCAAAATTAAACTTTGTTTGATTTCATCAAAAATTGAATTCTTGGGGTTCTTTGATATGCTGAATCTAACCATGTATTTAGATTTTGGATATTGGACCATAATAGGTGAATGTCCAATTTAAAAATTTTAAGTTCTTAGACCACATTCATTCTGTGTCAGAAACCTATGCTGTGTCAAATATTTAATCACAATCCAAATTCAGAGCTGTATCAAGCTTGAATGTTGTGTCCATATATACTTGCCCCAACTGTTCAGGGTTCGACCTCTGCGATCATATCAAGCTGCGCCCTGCGGAGCATTTAAATTATTGCATATTATTTTGAAATCTATAAAAGATAGATAGACATTTTAAATGGTAAAAATGATTCGCAAGACAAGATTCACAGAGAAGTCAAATTTAACCAAAATGGTTTAAAGACTTTTAATAGGAGTGATTACCCTTAAATGACTACTTTTTACCCGTTTTAGTGTTTTGGGCAATAACCATGATAACTAAAAAAGATAGTCGGAAATTGTAAACAGAAAAAAATGATCAGCTAAACTAGATCAATTAAAAAAGAGATCATGGATTCTATTCTAGTCCACATTATTGGTGAGTGTCCATTGTTGAAGATACAATACCTAGGTGAGCGACAAACGAGCCTCTAGTTCTTTTAGTCTTTGTTTTATGTGTCATCTTGACATTTTTTTTTCATTGCCCCTTTGTACTATTCTAAATGTTTGTAGATAAACCAGATGTATTGACACCAAGCAATCACCTTTTAAACATGTCACTAGAAATTACAACATTGTCAAAGACTCATGAATCCTAATATTTTGACACTGTAGTTTCTTCAAAAGAGCTTGTTAAGTACAAGTGCACTACAGATTTCTCCAAGTCATTTTTTGCCTGTCTGTCTTAAGCTTTAGGATGGCAAAGACTGCAAATCTAGTGGTCCCAGTGAAGCTTTGTGGTTCCAATATGTAGATTAATGAGTAGATAATTTTTCCCCCTTACTATTTTAGTAATAATTTGAATACTTAAAGTACTAGTACTGTATGGAGTCACCCCTTGCAATGTTTTATGATGTACTTTGAGAGATATAAAGTAAGTTTTATTGAGGGATACCGAAATATCAAAATAACTTCTACAGTCTCAGTGGTCTTATGGTATCATGGTTGCCTAGAGAGTTGGAGGTTGTGGGTTTGATCCATTGCTGATTAAAAACCATAGACTTCAAAATTTGTATTTGTCTCTGCCAAGCAAGTGGCATTTACAAGTAAGAGCAAAGACTGATAGGTTCAGAGTCAGAATAATGTGTCTAGGTAGGATGGACATTGTCCTGAAGCATGTTACATTTAAGTTTTCTTTTTTGTTTGGTATGAATTGAATATTACTTTTGTTTACTCTATATAAATTGTTGAAAGAGTAACAATTGTTCTTATATGCCATCCAAATCAATGAATTATAACAAACAAGTATAGTTTGTATGTCTTTTCTCAGAGGAGTTAGTTGTTGTTGTGGTCTGTTTTACTGTCAAATATTTTGGTTGATTCCTGTTCGCCTTTCTATACAATATATTTTATAAGCTTTTATGAGCTTTTATTCATCCTTAATTGAATGTGATTTCATCCATCATACCAGGGAAACTTAAAAGAATTGATGACCCATTTTATGTTAGTGGTATACTTAACCAGATCATATCTTTATTTCCCTCAAGACTGACCACCATCAATGACCATAAACATATAATGTAACTTGATAATACAAACTTTATTGATAAGTAATAAATGGATATAGATTTATGATACCCACAGCTTGTCCACTCAAGTAAATATCTTTATTTATAATATATGTACCACAAAGTTGACTACAGTATAAAATAAAGAGATGTTATGATTGTTTATGAGACAACTATCCAACACAGTCCAAATGACCTGGATTAAATCAAGTATACATTACCAATGATCATGAGCCATTATTATTTTAGAATAAAACGTCACAGTACCCAAATTGCACTAATTTAGCAAAAATAGCAATGGAAGTCGTACAAGTTTTCTTAGAGACTTACAGCAGATTCCATTGAGTGTGTAGCCAAAGGTAATATCTTTGGTTAGCTTGCTTGTTAGCTGAACCATGAAGTCATTGTTAGGTTAGGTAAACTACCCTACTTTAAGAATAGACTAGTCCGACAGAAAACCAATCGATCTGTCTGTTGGACTATGCTACTTCGAAAAGAGGGTAGTATACCTGACCTAATAATGACTTCACGGTTCAGCTAACAAGCAAGCTAACCAAAGATATTACCTTTGGCTACACACTCAATGGAATCTGCTGTAACAATTTGTGTTTTTTTATACGCCTGTTTATGGGACTTATTATGATATAACGTTGTCTGTCCGTCCGTAGTCAACATATCGGACAATAACTCAAAAACGCTTGAACCAATTTTCATGAAACTTTGGTGAATTGTTTATATCTATTGATGTAAGCTCCCTTTCGATTTTTTATAAATTTTAGATTTTACATTACTGAGTAATGGGATTTTATTCATAAAAAAGGGGTGATTTTCCAGTTTTCAGACAATAATTCAGAAATGCTTTGAGCAGTTTTCTTGAAACTTTGGTGACTGGTTTATATCTATCAAAATAACCTCCCTTTAGTTTTTTTTTTATAAATTTCTGATATGACACTGAGGAGTTATGGAACTTTATAAGTTGAAAAAGCGACAGGCCTATCATGCAGTCATGGCGCAGCTCTTTATTATGATTTGACATTATGCACGTCTTTCAACGTAGCTAGATATATTTAAAGATACACAAAATGTTTGCAGTATATATCAACAGATGAAGTATTCACTCCAAAATGTACGCCATGCGAATTCCACAAAAAGTCAACTTTTAAAAATGAGCAATTAAAATATGTTACAGGCATCCAATTCTTAAAAAATGAATAGTAAGCATGGACTAGTGTCAAATTGTTCTTGATATTCTAATTGAAGAAATAAAACAAAACATCAGTTAATCGATTTTTAAGGATGTGAATTTAAGTACAGATGCAGTTTGGGTATGTCGAATTACAGAAACATGGGTTGTTTGGAGGTCGGGTCAAACCCATATTTCTATGATTCAATATGGATTCAAAATTAAATTGGTGGAACTATATAGTAAAAATGGATACATCTACAAAATAAACACATAATGGAAACTTTTGTCAGGATCATAAATAAATGTAAGTAAAAAACTGTCAAAACAGGTGCAATTTGGGTACCCTCATGTTATGTAGATTGGGCTCAAATATGAAAAATACATTTAAGAATTATATTGTAAAAAGAAAGCAAAAATAACTGTCATAGGCCTGAAAAAGGAAGAAACATTTTAAAGACGCTTATTGCCAAACATAATTTTAGGCATGTATCCAGAAATATTAGAATTGGAGGAGAGTTTCTTAGGTTTTTCCAGGTAGAAAAGGGGGTTCTAGGAGATTCCAGCCAAATTTTCATTGGCTTTAAAGTGATTATATAAAAAAAAAATTTATAAAGGAGGGTTCCAACTTCCAACCACTTAAATCTCCTCTCTGTAACTACCTATGTTATGTCATGTATGTAAGTACATTCAAAGGCGGAACAAACTTTACAGATATTTAAACCACAAATCTTAAAGTAATAGAGCAAACACTGACATAAAGAGGTCACAAATCTGAAAGTATCGTATTATCGGTAAAATAACACTTCAAGGCCAATAAAACCTTTTTAAAATGTTCGTCTTTTTTTACAAAAGAGTATTAATAAAAATGAAGTTATTGAATGTACCAGAAGTATATAAATTTCTAGGTACATTCCCTGGATAAATGATGAGGAAAGTATGTTTAGATCATGAAATAAGTCACCTATTTTTCTAGTTTCCATTAATTTTATCATCTTTATGTAAGGAATTTTCTGTTTAATGTTAGCCAAAATTTTACCTGTTGAATTTAATGTGCATTTTGAAATTTAAAAATATATATGAAGTTGTTAAAAATGTAAAATTTAACAAAGAAGAAAAAAAATCTCATTTGATGTGGATCTGCACATAATCACAATATTGAATTTTTGTTAAAGTGTAATTACCTTTTTAAGGTTTGAAAGAAATTTTATCATTCAAAATTTAAATTGCTGTTTATGAATCTGCACTTAGAAGTTTATAGAAATGAAAATTATAATGAGATATGTAATTTAAAAAAACTAGATTTAAATTTTCGATGAACTAATATGTTGCCCTGTGGCTGTTTCATTGCTCCTTTTACTCAAGAAAAATATTTCTCTAAATTTTTATCAAGTTTTGTTATATATGCTTTACAAGTATATTACTTACAAAGTGGTTCAGATAAAAACTACTCTTTCTGGTGAATGTGGGTGATTCACTCTGAAATATCTCTCCATATTCTGTAGAGTCTTGAGTCAGAGGGTAATTGCAATCACTTTAATTCTGGTGAATGTGAGTGATTCACTCTGAAATATCTCTCCAGGTTCTGTAGAGTCTTGAGTCAGAGGGTAATTGCAGTCACTTTAATTCTGGTGAATGTGGGTGATTCACTCTGAAATATCTCTCCTTGTTCTGTAGAGTCTTAAGTCAGAGGGTAATTGCAATCACTTGAATTCGCAAAAATTCACATAACACCATCAAGGTTATTTTTTACCAAATCAATTTAATAATACATAAAAAAGATAAAACTTTTTCAAGGCATTTTCAAAAATATTGGACAGTACAACAGTCTACACCAACAACCAACTCCTTGAGAAATACCTGTACAAAGACAACTTTGAAAACACATGGTTTAGATAGGCAGACTTAGTACTGGCACAAAAACAGGTAGGGTTAAATAGTATGTACTGTACATGCCCTGAGCTGCAAAAGTTAAAATGCATTGCAATGCAAAAGAATTTTCAACCTGTTGTATTATAAAGATGTATCACTGAATGATTAGACAGTTATCTCCTTTTCAGGATTCTGATGAAGACACTACATTATTGGATACAGACAAAACTCTGACAGATGATGGTGTTAACAGGGAGTAGAAAAGTCTGACGAAATCCTGGACAGTAGTTTCAAAATATTGCTTTATATTTGCAGTGTGTTATTTAAACGCATGAAAAATGTTACTGAAAAGTGCTTTATGTCTGCAATGTCAAATTTTGTTGATTTCACAATTTCGACTTTTTTCGGCAGACGTATGGTTTGATATTTTCGTGTTTATTTTGAAATCAATGGGACTGGAAATTAATTGAAGTCCGTTGTGGGATGATTTGATAACAACAAGGTTTTAAATTGTATTGGTTATATATACCAGTACATTATTGCCAAAATGAATGTGTCTGAATTTGTGAATATATATACACTCCTCGTTTAACGATATGCTCGTTTAATGAGGAAAAGATATAAACAGTCTTGTATAATTCACAAAACTACTAAACTTTTATGAAACATGATTACAGAATTGCTTTCAATCCTCAAATTTTGTATATAATAGAACTATAATGAAATAACAGAATTGGTTTAATCACATTTATTGCCGATTTCACAGATTTAAGTATCAGTACCATCTGTGTTATTAATGTACATGAAAACATCATTTAACAATCGATTTAAATATTTGTGTTATGCCATTGATGAGGAGGATGTGGATGGGGGGTTTACAGAATAATGAGCAAAAAAAATAAAGAATAGAGAAAAATGGGCAAAAAGTATAAGGAATAAAGAAAAATGGCTTAAATAATAAAAGAATACAGAAATGAAGGACCCCCCTTCCAGACCCTCCTTGATTACTCTGACTGAAGAACCTTGATAAATCCTGGATATTGAATTCCATAATTCATCATCCAATCCATTTGGTTAAATTGCTGATGACTATCAGGTGATATGTTTAAATGAGACAAAACATTTAAGTAGCTTCTGTACAATGTAAACAAACTGTTCCTCCCTATTGTTAGTTTAGACTTAAACCTGGAACCAGTTTTCGAACAGATGACAACTTTAATGGTACCTTCAAACATAAGATTAAAGTAAATTTTGATGTTTTAGAAGTTATACTTTCAACAGATAAGAAAGTTGTTTTAGAATTACCCCTCTTGAGAAAAGAAATTTATTTAATTGTTTATGAAATCAATATTTATTTTTGATGCATCACGGATAAAAATGCAAACCGTTTTATACTTAAATGTTTAATAGCACTTAGTTTCTGTAAACTGTTCAGTAAGGCCAGGATGAAGAAAGTTTTAGTGTCTTCCCATTCTTAGCCTCATTGTTTTCATGAATATTAATAAAAACAGTAGAACCTTGAAATTTGCAATTTCTGGTTGTAAATTCATTCACACCAGTTATTTTCTAATGAAATATGGAAAAAAAGAAAACTAATTTGCCACATTTTCAGCATGTTCAGTATGGCTGTACATGAAGTGATAAAACCCAAAACATATTACATATAGTGTTACATTAAACAACGTAAAATTTTCTTTTTATGAATGGATTTTAGCATGTTGAATGAAGTAATTCTATTCTGGATTTTTTGGCAAAACTTTGAAAAAGTACATGTTTATCAGGGCTTCAATACCAGAAAATGATTTGCCTACCTTGGATACCTTAGAAGTTTTCCCATCTTGGATAATTTTTTTTTAACATAAATGAAATAAGTGTTTTTATATCAACACTTTTATTAGGGAAGTGATGGTAAAGCTTATTGAAAGAGCATCCCAACAACACCACTTAAGTATGTAAGGTGTCTAGTTGATCAACATAAAGCCATCACCAAAGGCCAAATATCATTCATAAAATTCTATTCCAATGTGAAGATCAAAATCATCTAAAACCTGCTCGGTTAAGACACGTTTTTTTTTATTTTTACAACTGATTTATTTATAATGGTAGAGGTTAGGTCAGGGAACTAACATTAATATTGTGCAGGGACCATTTCTAGTTTTATTTCAGCTTGAATAACATTAATTAAAACTGTTTTTTTACCTAGTTCATATGAAATGTTGGATTGTACTTACCATTTATTGAATGGCACTGCTCATAAAGTGAAAGGAGAGGGAGTGCTCCTTTCAGAACAGTATTTGTCTTATATTATGATGGAGGTAGTTCTGTGATCACAAACATGATCTTTTTTTTTGGTAAAATAAGATGTATTTTGTGCATATATTTTATAAACAGAAAATATATTTCCCTAATAACAGACATTTTTATATTTCAACAAAAACTAATACACCACATTTGAAAATACCTTCGAAAGTTCACAAGATCAACATAACCTTATTGCACTCATGGGCTCATTTTCATAGTAAGATTAACATAGTGTCTACATCCACTTCATTTGAACTTTGGTGGATAGTTGTCTCATTGGCAATCGTACTTATTTTTATATTAATCGTGTTTAATCAGTTAAAAAAGATAGAAGACTTAGATCTTCATACCCACTGAACCAATAGTACATCCTGTAAAAATTAATTGTGAAAATTTTCTAGTACATTTTAAGGATGTTCGCTACTCTGTTTCAAAATAACAAGCTTTCAAAAAGACTGTTATGAATTGATGGTATATAAATAAAGGGACTAAAAAAGCAGAAAAAAATGAAGGGTCCGAGTGCTCGTTTTTGAGATATAAGCCTTTGAAAACTTGGCAGGAAATGATTCTCTAGATTTTTCATACATTTAACATAGGCACCTTTTTTCTTTCAGAAACTATGCAAAAATAACAAGGATTTTATAAGATTTTCAAAGATGGCATTTTAAACTATATGTAATCAAATAATGGAAAGAAAAGTAGGGGTTAGCAGGCAAAATTTTTAATGGCACTACATGGATAAAACCAGAGGATTCTGAATATCTGGCAATAATCAAAAACAAGAGGAGCGAACATCCTTAAACTGTAAATCCACATATTATTATAAGCACCTGTAAATTACAAAACCAAATTTCAAAGTTTTTATTTCTAATAGCTATCAATTAATATGCAAATTTCTGCAATAAATCATCATTTAATGATTTACAGACAATAGAATCTTTTCAATCTTGTTGAAAAAGTGACATAAGTTCCACCACATACACATATGTAATTTTATAGGGAACTTTCTATGGCATTTTTAAATGCAGTGTATATGTTACTTATTTATATTAATCATGTATTACTAGTCATATCTAATATATTATATTTATTTTAACAAGAGATTCTAAACATGGTGCAATTGTCAGGAATATTTATTCATTTCGTTCATGTTCATTCACAAATTTTGTTTAAATAAAATCTTTTTTTTGTAAATTTGTTTCTTTTTATTCAAGATGTCTGCTTAATCTGTATTACCAAAGTTTTTCATTGTGTCCAATTTGTACATGTAGAAAAAAGATATCCCTGCTTGTCAGATCATTTGGAAAATGTCTATGTGATATTTTAGTATCTCTAAACATCTGTCTGTATAGCCATTCACCATATTTTCTAAAGACACAATGAGAGCTATTAGGTTGCTTCCACTATGGCACTAACCAAACATGGTATATATAAATTGAATATGATATGAAAGCATTGTGTTCAGTCAAAGTTCACATCTTCATGATACTTTGTATGTTGTTTTGATGCTGAGATGAAAGCTTTTTAGCTCACCTTGCCTAAAAGGTCATGGGAGCTTTTGCAATCACTCAGTGTCTGTCGTGGTTGTTCCTCCAGCGTCATAAACTTTTAAAAAAAATTTCACCTCTGAAACTACTGGGCTAAGTATTACCGAACATTACCTCAATGTTCCTTAGGGTATCTACTTAAAAAAATGGTATCTTGGGAGTTTATCCATCAATAAACATGGCTGCTAAAAAAATAGAACATAGGGGTAAAATGCAGTTTTAGGTTTATATCTTAAAAACTAAAGCAATTAGAGCAAAACTGACATGGATAAAAATGATCAGCAGGTCAAACTTCTATCTAATATATTTTCAAAAAAATCAGACAACCTATTTTGAGTTATTGCCCCTGAAATGTTAATGTTTAGAAATTTTTATTTTTTTTTGTCTTGTCTTTGACAAATTCTGCACACATAGGAGTGGTGTAAACTGTTTGTGTAAAGCTTTATATTTGAAAAGGTAGAAAACCTTAGATCTTCATACCTTGTATGCAGATGCCTTATGTTATGAAGTTTCTGTCTGTCAGATGGTTTTATTGGACAACGTTAAGTTTTTCCAGTTTGGTCTATTTTTCAGATACTAGAAGTAGCAGGGCCACTATATTTGGTGAATGTAATGATTGTAAGGTGTATATGTCTGTCTGGCAGGGGTCATATGACCTTGACCCCATTTTCATGATTCATTGGTCAATGTTAAGTTTTCATGGTTTATGTTAATCAGATACTATAAGTTATAAGTCAACTATAATTGGTTTATGGAATTATTGTTAGGTGAACATGTCTGTCTGGCAGGGTTCATCTGAAAAGTTATATCCTGGCATTTACTTAATTAAATTCCTAGCCGTATGTAAACTGCCCATATTAATTTAATGCTAGAATAAGCCCCAAAACAACCAAATTTCTTAAGGAAATTATTTGTTTAAAGTGTAAACTGAACCGTGTGTATTTTGACAGAATAGACATGACATTTATATTTTTCCAATTACCAAAATATTCTTTTGATGTATGAAACAACTGTGGTCTACAAATGCGGATCGTCTCAAAGCAGCACTAAATGTAACTGGATTAACTTAAATAATTAAATACTTTGTTCACTTAAGCAGGCTGTGGAAACTCTTGCAAAGTTGTTTTATGAAATAGCTACGATCCCTTGAATAGATTTATTCTTTAAAGGTTATCAATATAACACCATAGTAAGATCTATTGTTACTATCAGCACTATAACTTTGATTTTGAAGTATGATATACAGCTATAAAAACTTGTGGTCCGACATTCTTTCTGTACTGTGTACGTATATTTTTGGCATTACACAAAGTCGTGCGTTTCTCAGACTGTTTATGACGTCTTTTCGCGAAATCGTTGGATGTGTCCTGATTGATACTTTAGTCTAGGAGAACAGCATTTATATATTTGTTGTGATTGCCTTCGAACTAGCTTCCAGTAACTGCACGAACTTTTAGATCGATACTTTTTGTCAGGAGCCCATACTTAAGTGGTTGTCGTCGAAGGCTGTCTGTTTTGTTTTTATCCTGGAACTCTTGGTTTAATAGCTTCCTTGTAAGCAGCAACCTTCCACCGAGGAAATAATGATAGGAAATGCAAGCTCTGGAATATCGTATCAAGTATGAAATATATACTCCATTTCCAGGTGCTGCTGGAATGTTGCTACATAGAAATAGAAATAGAAAATTCACAATTGGGAAGCTGACATCATCTCTTTTGTCGTAAAGTTTTGTTATCAACCGACCCTCTTTGTCAATTTCTACATGCCTCATGTAGAGGACGTAGAGAAATACAGAATCTTTGTACAGTACGACAACTCTTTGAAGGGTCCAAAGGTGGCCTGTTACAAGGCTAAATTTCTGTCCCTATCATCATACACTGTCTATCCTCATTTACCAGTGTCTGTCGAAAGTCACACCCTTCATGACCCTCCTTTGATTCCTGGTCAGGGTTTGGATTGACCTTTGATTCTTCTTGTTTTAATCAGCTCTTTAATGTTTAAATTATGTTTAGAACTTTCAAATATTTAAGTTACTAGCATCACTGAAGAGACATTGATTGTCGAAATACGCATCAGGTGCAGTAAAATTGGTACCATTGATGTGATTGCAGAACAACCATTTTATAACGTGTTGTTTTCATTTTTTACAGCACTGGGTAGATACCTCTGTCGGTGGACTATCAGTCCCAGAGGGTATCATCAGCTCAGTAGTCTGTATTTCGGCACTGACATGATTTGTAACAAACCTTTCTAAAATTGTCCGTTTTATATATTTTGAAATTATTAAGAAACTAAGGTTTCAACTCCCTCAGGCAAAGTTGGCCTTATAAGGATTTGGCTATTTTTAAGGTCCTTTTTGATTCTTTTATAGCTCTTCAATTATTTCCGTTCTTATACATTCTTGGCTTTCAAGTATTCGGCTTTGAGCTTTCCTGATGAAGGTAAATCCAGAAAAGCGCTTCGAATGCATGGAATTTATAACGTTTTGTTTTCATTTTTTTTTTATGTACTTCTAATTTTAGATGTCTTGAATATGCATGCAAGCGGATGTTAAGCAAACAACATCAATATTGGATTGTTACAAAAACTAACATGACAACATTTACAATTAACATTCAAAATTCAATGTTAACAAACTTTCATATAATATAAATATATCATATATTTAGATATTTTGGAGGAGGTGATATTTCAAATTTGAAAATAAATGTACAATATTCTTAATGAGATTGTTATAAAATAAAACAAAACAAATGTCTATGTAATAAATAATAATTAAAAAGTTGTATTACATAATTCTAGTATTTATTGTCATTTAGGTTATTTCTTAGTACATATAAATCGTGTACCTCTTAACTATAATTTTAGTTATGTCATATTCGTGAAATATAAACAAAAATACATTTTTTCTCATGACATTTTGTTGGAAGATGGGATCATGCCCTCTACTTCATGAAACATTTTTTGCCTACTTTTAAAAAAAAATGACATTTTAAAGCAAAATGACATTCATCTTCAACCCCCTTTTTACAGAGAGAACGTAATCTTTTTTTTTCGAGGGGTAATTTACGGTGTCTATCATGCTCAATATTTTGATTACTATTACTTAATCTTATTCTAATAAAATTAGATAGCATTTATCGGTCTACAACTACCAATAAAAAAAATCTAATTTGTAATCGTTTTCTAATTTTCTGTATTCGAGGTATTTAAGTCATTAAAAAGACTCCCCTCCCCAGAAATCTATATATCTTTCAGCTAATTTATTCCCTACAGCATTATTCAGTCGTATTTTCCCATACATGATTTATCCCTATTTTTGAAAGAGCTATATTTCATTTTTGCAGCACAACCATTCTGTAAATGTAAACTACATTTTATAGTGTTAATCTCTCAGCACCACCCACCCCGCCCCCTCCCGCCCCCTATTATAGGTATTTGAAGCATATCTTTCTTCTTTTGCATTTATCAAATGGCTCAAAAAACCTATAGAAGCCTAAAAGCTTCAATAGCAATAGGAAACATACATATTTCTGCTTAAACTGTTGTGTTAATTGCACCTTTATTTACCATGTTTACATCAACAATTAAAAAGATATTAAGCAAATTTTATCTGTAATTTTGAGGGCAAAAATGAAAAATGTTTACATTCAGGACTCGAATTGTCTCAAATGATCCTACCAGGTGTCCATTTTTCACTGCAATAAAGTAGTACAGGTTTCAAGTGAACGTATAGATAGCACAGGCACTTGTCTCAGAATTTTTTTTCCATATTAAGGTATATAGAAAACAAAATTTCTGAGACAAGTGCCTGTGATAGATAGATAAACTTCGAGTCCAAGATGTCCAAGATCATACAGGATCGTACAGTTAATGACCTAATACCAAGTCTTCACTTTTATATTGTGTCATTCTAATTTATCCTACTTTGTTTGACCCAACAAGTGAAAACTAGTCAAGTCACAAAATTAGAATAGTGTATTGCACGAGTTTTAGTTTTTAGAGGTTGCTTGCTGTTAAAAGGTGTATATACAATCAACATAACTATGTCATTGAAAGTTGCCATTTGCTTAAAGATTTGAGATACAGTCATGAATATTTGTACATCGAATTGCGCATCTGGTATTGTAAAATTGGAACCGTTAATGCTATTTCAAGAATTTAATCCCACGATGCTAGTAAGCAAACAACATTATATTGTATGTGTTGCTGTGCTGAACAAGGAATTGATTCACATGGCTCGGTAGGATATATGTTGCGGTGCAAAAATAAAAAGGAAAAAAATTCTTCGCTGATGGTGGGATGAAAATTTCATAGGTGACCGCGGGTCTCGAATTGATACACATGTAACGGTAAGATATTATGTTGCGGTGCAAACTAAAAATGAAATGAATCACGTCCCTCGGTAGGATATCTGTTGCGGTTCACAACAAAATTAATTGTTCACGTGGCTCGGTATGATATCTTTCAATCAAATACAGACAAAAGAAACTCATAGTGACGAAAAGTACACACATGTAGTAGTTATGCTTCATACTCTGCGATCTTATATTAAACTTTTTTTTTAAAACTTAATATTATAGTGTAATGGTTAATTTGTGTATCAGTTTTTGTCTTTCTGATGCTACTGGAAAATTAGGATATATTGGACAAGGAAAAAAAAAAGACCTTTTGAAAATGGCAAAAGTATGAAAAAAAGATTCAGGGTAAATGGTTCCTACCTTTCATATTTAGGTCCAGGGGTGTAGCTATTGTTTTTGTAGATGAAAACTTACCAATTATGCATTTAATAGTTAACAAACAATACGCGTGTGCACTACTTCAGCGTGGAAAATATTCAGGCAATATTGTTCCTGTCTCTCATATTTTGGTCCAGGGGTGTAGCCAACATTATTTATAAGATGACAAAAATACCAATTATGCATTTAAAATGCATTCGATAGTTAGCAAACATTGCATGTTTACATTACTTCTATATCGCTCACTAATATAGGTGGGAACGTGATTACTTCAACTTTCTCTCATTTCTACGTTCCTAAGCGAAATACAGGTATATAACCAACTTTGTGTTTGTTTTGATAGAAAACAAGATATATCAAAACAGATGCATTAACAAATAGAAAACCTAATCAAGTTAGTAAACCCATAGGATTCACGGCGTGGTGCATGTGTTTTTCTTATCTCTTACGTTGTAACATAGTAGAATCTTTGTATAAAAATATTTAACAACATATTATAGTACTGTAAGTTTATTGACCTGTGAAAAATCACCCTTCAAGGTAGAACGTCATAGTGTAAACATTTATAGGATAATTGGAGTGAAGTTTAAACCCAGGTAAAGATTAATTTATAAAATGGTGACGGAAGGGAGTCTTTAATAACAATATGTACACAAGGCTTGGATATGCGTTATTAGCAGTTTCTTTTCTGTTATGGAAATTGGATATAGGTATTCTGTGGTCTGGCTTGTGCTTAATTGGTGCTTGCGTTCTATTTCTACCTGAAAAGGGAAGATATGTTTCACCCGCTAACAAGATTGTTATTATTACAGGTGAGTTGTCAATCTGATAGTTATCAAAATGCATTAATGATAGGAATTTGTTCACTACATATGGAAATAAAATCATTAGCAGTTGTATTAACATCTTATTCAAAATAGTTTTGAACGAAGTCATTCATACAAATTGTCATTACCTTAACCAACTTTCAGAATGTTTAAAGTTAATAAAACCAACTTTTTGCTACACTTCTAAAGATCTACATGACCAATATACTTGAAGCAGAAACGAAAGGGAGACTGTTTACGGTCGTAATCTTGACTTTCGGTTATTTTACGAAATTTAGTTAACCGATAGTGTACAACCTTAGATATAATAGCCATGGCTATGGTTATAACTAACCCATCAAACACTAGTCTTTGTCATTCGTTAACTTTCCAATGCTTTTAATTTGATCTAATAGCTCTCAGAAATAGAAAGCGGCAAGGTTGTTGCTTCTAGAATCGAATTCCCTTATCACACCAGAAATAAGCGTGTCAATTTCACTAAACTGAAAAAAGTTAATATGTAAATTAGTTTTTACAGGAAAAATTTAATTTGTCTAGACCCCTAGACAGATAATCAAGACGAAAGTGTTACCTATTAACTAACGTAGAAACAAAATTATTTGGTCAATGTTAAATGGTTTTATATCACACACTTCTCTTTGTATCGCTAAATTATCATGAACAAGATGCATAGAAAGCCATAATGAAAGGTCTTGTATTCAAATGGAAAGGATAGTTTATTTTCTGTCAGTATCTTATACTATTGTTTCGGTTTGCAATAGTAAATTCACCAAATGAATAAATATGGTGCAAAAGAACAATTATCAAAGTGTGCTTCGGGATCATCAGAAACTTTCGAACGCGTCGCTCGATTAAAGTAACTCAACCTCTGCAACGCATCGATCAGTTAGTCAGGATCCCGGGCTATAATTAATCTTGATCTCAGCAGCAAAGTCGGTTAGTTTACACCTTATCATAATTGTCAAAATGCATACAAAGCAAAACGTTGTTATGAACAAAAAATGAAGACATATCATACAAAAGAATATATTATTCTATACTTGCTCTTACAAAAATGAAATTATATCGTTGCATCATTCTTCACACAGAACGAGTCTTTTAAAGGTGGCGTTCTTGACATACATCTCAAAAATACTTACTATGATCTCTGTCTTTATGTTGCTATATTTTAAAGTTCACTAGTTCCTTTAAAATGTTTTTAATATACAATGTTAATTTTAACTGTATTTCGACCGATTTAAACTAAGCCAAACAATCACTTCCAAAAATATATTTAAATTCAATTTATCAATTCAAATCTAAATTTAAAATTTGCAAATGTACATTGGATTTGTAAATTCCATTGGTAATTTTTGTATCTGATTTAAGATTATTATATGTTACAGTATTCTTGGCTAATCGTTCTTAGGTTATACTGTTGTCTAATCGTCGTTTCGGTATCTAAATCATTCTGTGTCATATTTTCAAAAGCGTACACCAAAACGTTATGATAAGCTAAGAACGTCGTAAACTGGAAATTTAACCAATGACGTTATTTCTGTTTTGGTGTACGAACAATGCAATTACCCATAGCATATTCCTTTAGATTCTGATGAATTGATTGACATACGTTCAATGTAGAGGTTCGATGTAGAATCGAGCTTAACTGTAATAAAAAGACAAATTTTAGGGCGTATTTTTAAACGCAGTGTAATTTATTAAAGAAAAGAACATTACACTTTTGTATGGCTTTGTGTTGTAACCAAGTCATTTTATTTATAAACTGATATTAGCCAGACGATTTTAAACGCTGGAAGGAATAAACACAATTGTTCGGGTCAGCAGCCATTGCGAGGTAAATTAGATTATGAAAACCAATTTCGTTCTGGGAGATCAAGGCATATTTTGGAGAGTTACATGCACGCATACCTGCAATTAAATTTATACTGCGCTGTTTTTTTAATCTGGCGATAAATCTTGTTGTCAATCAACCGTTTAATTTTATAATGTATTTTAATTAGGTATAAAATTTCCACGAAATTAATATAATCATCTTTCGCTGTACAATTAAACATAAAAGCTATAATGTAATAACCTCCCGCTGACTTTTTGTAACAGACGTCAGAAATAAATGACACCAAAAGACCACTGACAAACAAAATCCGTTAATATTTAAAATATTTGTTAGCCGATAACATCTCACGATACACAGCTTCTGTTTATTAAAGCGACAAGGATGTTTTTCCGCTATGCATTCAGATTTTTTGAGGTATAACCAATAATGTGGTTTACTACTTTGTTACAAAAGTATTATATAAGTTCATTCAATAATTGCGTGAGGTTAACTTATAACACGTAATATCAACTGTTTGATACCCAAATGACTGTGAGAAAATGTTAATGATATGAACAATTACGGAACGTAATTTGAGTACAACTGGTAAATTATTCAGACACGGATTTCGTTACTACACATTATTAAGACCTTTATAGATATATGTATTGATTGAGTTTTGCTTGTTCAACGCCCAGTGGCTTAGATATAGAAACTTAGCTGCTTTGCTCAACGTCCAGTGGCTTAGATATAGAAACTTAGCTGCTTTGCTCAACGTCCTGTGGCTTAAATATAGAAACTTGATATAAGAAGATGTGGTATGAGTGCCAATAAGACAACTGTCCATCCAAGTTAAAATTTATAAAAGTAAACCATTATAGGTCACAGTACGGTCTTCAACACGGAGCCTTGGCTCACACCGAACAGTAAGCTATAAAGGGCCCCAAAAAATTACTAGTGTAAAACCATTTTTTGAGGTATAACCAATAATGTTATTCAGACACGGATTTCGTTACTACACATTATTAAGACCTTTATAGATATAAGCAAAACTCAATCAATACATATATCTATAAAGGTCTTAATAATGTGTAGTAACGAAATCCGTGTCTGAATAATTTACCAGTTGTACTCAAATTACGTTCCGTAATTGTTCATATCATTAACATTTTCTCACAGTCATTTGGGTATCAAACAGTTGATATTACGTGTTATAAGTTAACCTCACGCAATTATTGAATGAACTTATATAATACTTTTGTAACAAAGTAGTAAACCACATTATTGGTTATACCTCAAAAAATAGCTGCATTGCTCAACGTCCAGTGGCTTAGATATAGAAACTTAGCTGCTTTGCTCAACGTCCAGTGGCTTAGATATAGAAACTTAACTGCTTTGCTCAACGTCCAGTGGCTTAGATGTAGAAACTTAGCTGCTTTGCTCAACGTCCAGTGGCTTAGATGTAGAAACTTAGCTGCTTTGCTCAACGTCCAGTGGCTTAGATGTAGAAACTTAGCTGCTTTGCTCAACGTCCAGTGGCTTAGATATAGAAACTTATATATATAGCTGCTTTGCTCAACGTCCAGTGGCTAAGATATAGAAACTCAGCTGCTTTGCTCAACGTCCAGTGTCTTAGATATAGAAACTTAGCTGCTTTGCTCAACGTCCAGTGGCTTAGATATAGAAACTTAACTGCTTTGCTTGAGACGTCCAGTGGCTTAGATATAGAAACTTAGCTGCTTTGCTCAACGTCCAGTGGCTTAGATATAGAAACTTGACTGCTTTGCTCAACGTCCAGTGGCTTAGATATAGAAACTTAACTGCTTTGCTCAACGTCCAGTGGCTTAGATATATAGAAACTTAGCTGCTTTGTTCAACGTCCAGTGGCTTAGATATAGAAACTTAGCTGCTTTGCTCAATGTACGTTGTAGACAGATAGCTTATCTTCGTGGACGATAGCTTTATCTCCGTGGACGATAGCTTTATCTCCGTGGACGATAGCTTAATCTCCATGGACGATAGCTTTATCTCCGTGGACGATAGCTTTACAGACTTGGACTACAGTTTTATCTTCGTGGACGATAGGTTTACAGCCGTGGACTATAGTTTTATCTCCGTGGACGATAGCTTTTTCTCCGTGAACGATAGCTTTATCTCCGTGGACGATAGCTTTACAGCCGTGGATGATAACTTTATCTCCGTGGACGATAGTTTTATCTCCGTGGACGATAGCTGTACATATCCTACTTGATTCATTGTTTGCTTTGTTCTCGTCTGAAATGTGAATGTAATACATTTATTTACATAGCAATCGATAACAATCAATCATAATTATTTATAAAGCTCGTAAATTGAGGTACAATTATTAATACTCATATAGTTCTGTTTCATAACTGTATTAATAACATTTATCTTTTCAACATTTTGTAATATTAGTTTTCTCATCGGCAATCATATCGCATCTTCTTATTTTGTCTCTCTTGCGATGAAGATCGAAACAAAATTATGCTGCTACCGAAAGTGTCATTAGTTTGTTGTATAAAGCATCATATTTCAGAAAGTAGACGACCAAGATGCTTTATATACAGATGCCTAATGTTCTAAAGTTCCCGTCTAGCACATGTCCGTTATCCTTGAACTCATTTTCATGTTTCGGCGATTGCTTATAAAACTACATTGGTTTTTTTATCACTTCATTTTTTTGTATTTTGTACTTGATTTTAGTTATTATGAGTAACATGACAACTATATTTGATATATATTATCTGAGTATGTTATGCATCTAAAATTAAAAAAAAAGAAGAGGGAAGCAAGATTGACTGACCGCAAGTATTCGTAGTTAATCGTTAGTTGTATTGTTTTTGTTATCATATCTCGATCTGTTCCAGATTGGGGAGGGAAGCATGTTGAACCTATCACATACGTGTATGTCCATAATCCACGCTGTTAAATTACATGGGAGTTGTTAAGGTCGATTTTTTTTATAACAAACGACCCAATGCGGATCCAATGTTGCAAATGAGAGTGTATCGGACTCTTTATACACGTAAGCCTGATTTTTTACCATTTCGTACCTATCATATACCGTTAAATCTATATCGTTGTACTGGGTTGCACAAACGTCAATTAACGTGAACTGCATAATGATATTATTTACTCATGAAAAAAACTACGGATTACTAATTGCGCCGAAAGGTCCTTTGTGTCGGGTGTTCGAATAATACGTCGGTTTCGGCTAATTTGAAATACCACAACATGACTGTAGTAACATGTTAGTTAACAAAGAATGTCAATAAAACAAACAAGGACAACGGATACCTTGAATACTAGCAGTTGTTCCAAATCGGAGTTCTAAGCACTCTACACATGTGTCCATTTCATAACGTCTGATACTGTCGTCTGCATGCATGGATGCATAACAAATCAACATACACAAAACTATTACGACTTTATATCAAACCAATGAAACCTAAGAGTTGAAAGGAGTATAGGAATATGGACTTCTCAGTAAAACCCATGTTAAAGAGGGGTGTCCGTTTGACCGCGGGATGTTTTACAGCTACGTCCGGTCAAAATAGGATAAAATCTTTTTGAGGGATCTTGGTGGCCTGTTGCAAGGCATCTTTTTTGTCCCTATCCAAACATACCCTTATTTAAAAGTGGCACCCTTCATCCCAGTCGACTCATTTTGAAGAACCTACTGTTGATTTGTTCTCGTTCTAAATATGCATGAAATATTTGCCACTAGATGTTCATCAATCGCCTTCTTTTAATCAGACTTACAAGGGGTAACCCGGTATGAATCAGACTTACAAGGGGTAACCGGGTATGAATCAGACTTACAAGGGGTAACCGGGTATGAATCAGACTAACAAGGGGTAACCGGGTATGAATCAGACTTACAAGGGGAAACCGGGTATGAATCAGACTTACAATGGGTAACCCGGTATGAATCCGACTTACAAGGGGTAACCCGGTATGAATCAGATTTACAAGGGGTAACCCGGCATGCATATTTTGTATGTGATCCAAATATCCACCATTGTAGTTGCATTGTCGTGACTTGCAGTCGGTTTGGAAAAAAAATAACAAACTAAGTTTAATTATTGTTGGAGAAGAACTGTTATGAATAGTAAAACTTAATTACCCTATTTTTAGTTTGAATTGTTCGAACGGAAATACAAGATTCGTTTTCATTCAAATATTTGATAAGTATGGACACTTAACATTCTATATACGTTAATTTAAAACCAGGGGATGACACGTTTCACCTTAAACTTAAACTCATTGACTGAAATTTAACCGACTTCCTGAATTAAAAAGTAGAAGACGATAGTTTTAATTGACTATATAGAAGTGCTATCATTTATCAGCAAATGCTTTAGGTTTTGGCAAAAAATTCATATTTAAGACACAATTTAATGAGAACTTAATCTTCCATACTGTGAACATAGATATAATATCAGATAAACAATTAAAAAAAACATTTAAGATAATTACTAAAACACGTTGATAGAAAGTATAACTTACTCTCACAACTTTATGTATAATAAATGATATCACTGGAGACAACAATTAAACGATTGTTTATTTCTTCTATGGAACATAAATACATGTAGCTTCCTCGTCTATGCATTGACGTAATTCAGATAGACGAGGGAACCGACGTATTTATTACAAACATTCAGTTAAAAATACGTTTTGCACAATATTTTAAGTAAGTCTTTTTTGGGCCTCTATTCCCAACATCTAGGCATTTATTATTTTCACTTATAAAATGAAACTGTACTTGCATTTTATCATTGACCAATTGATTGTATTAATTTAAGGCTCAGTGTCAAATATTTTATGCAAATAATTTAAGAAAAAATTAAATAATAACATATGAGGTAGATTTTTCAATGTGTGTCTTGCCGGGGAAAACGGATAAAGAAATGTGTAACAAATAGATAGGAGGATTTTACATCAATACGAATGCTCATGTCACTATATACTGAAAGATGAAAGAAATTACTTGTCACATATTTTAAATTCCATTGTAAGGAACCGACTGTTTTCTTTGCGAGTTGGGACAGGGGTTAAAGAAGGTTAGAATTTTATTGAATGATCTTTTTGTTCATGTACCAGAAGTGTTTGTTTCAAACTTTTTTTTATACCTTAACATATATTGTGTCTTATCTACTATCCGAGGTCTCAATCGTGACCGAGGATACATGAGAGAATTTATATATTCAATGTAAAAAGAAGTAATAAAAACTTATTTTATTGTTATCTTCATTTATAAAACAGAAACAAACCAGATGTATTAAAGCTTTTACCAACTATCTAGAAATGCAATTTTCACTGTTTACATTTTCTCATCACAACTCATATCATATATTTTATAACGATGATTATTGTAACGATTTTATGGTTCTGGTCCTGTCTGGAATAAAATGTACATGATTTAAATAAGATGAAGAAATATATGTAGGTTTATAACTATAAGAACATTACATATTTTATTTCGAATTAAAAAAAAAATCTACAAAATCATAGTGTATTGTTTTGTGAGTATAAATGTCATGCTGACCATTAAGGACCCTTAATTGGAACAATAAATACTCTAAATATTATTATTGTTATTCTTGTCATATCACTTTTGACTAAATGAAAATATAGAATTTCATTAGGCATAAATTTTGATCGGTTTAATTGCCAAATACCACAACTTTTAATGACAAATTTTAAGAACAATTTTATGTAAAAAAAAGGGATGATATCAAGGAGTTAATATAAACATACATACGTCGAATAAAACAAACAGACAACATCAGGATCGAAAGAAAAATGACGAACAGATGAAAACAACAGTCCACCAGACATTATACAAAAAACTATATACAAGTACTAGCACAGGTTTAAAGATGTCAGAGTCTTTTATAGCTTGCTATGCAGTATGGTTTTTGCTCATTGTTAAAGGACTTACGGTGACCTACAGTTGCCTACTTATTCATAAACCTCATTAGTCTTTGGTGGAGTGCTTTCTCATTGGCAATCATACCATATCTTCTTATTTTAATATTATCAATATAAACTGATGAATGTTATAACGTTTTAAGGTTGTGATAGTGGATTTGGAAATAAACTTGCCAGACGTCTGGATGCCAAAGGGTTCATAGTATTTGCTGGATGTTTAGCCCCAGACAGAGAAGGGGCCCGTGACCTGAAAGAGGCCTGCTCTGACAGATTAAACATCGTGCATCTAGATGTCACAGATGATTGGAAAGTTAGAGAAATGATCGCTGCAGTAAAACAAAAGATGAATGGCAATGGTAAAATAGTGCATAAAAAGGATAACAGAAATTACCAAATGTTTTTATAGTACAACAGACCACACCAACCATAAAATTTCGATTCCTACCCCCCCCCCCCCCCTAAAAAAGAACAAATAAAAACCCTAAACAAACCAGATGTACATTCAAAGACAACAAAGACAGAAACAACACATGGTCCATATAGCTTGACTTGATACAGGCAAACTGTTTCAGTGCACACAAACCCAAGCATTTGCCTATCTAGACTCTTTGTCGTAACACACAATAAAAAACTTGCACAGGGAATTTGCCATAAAATTAAAACAACTCTTATAAATTTCATGCGTCCGAAACGATTTTTTTGGATTTACCTTCATCAGTAACGCTCAAACTAATATGCGATGACTAACAACTTGTACAAGGAAAGGACGAAACTCCGTCTTGAGATTATGTTTTGAAATAATTTTTCATAAAAAAAGCTTACTGAGTAATCCGAAAATGTGGATTTTTTTCTTAACCAATTACGACAGCTTCGGATAACTCTATGAATCAAATTGTATTAGCGTGTTTGAATTGATGTCATTCACTAATAGAGAAATAAACAAGCTATTTCTATTTTGCAACGATACAGAAAATATAAATTTATGTTTAACAGTACTTTACAATAATTGTTGAAAAATTACGACATCGATAAATGTAATAACAATTTGCCTAAAAAAAACTTACGATTTCTAACTTCGATAGGAATCACTATTGATAGTAATAATTCGATACGGATTACAATTGATAATACGAATGTCGATATGAATCTCAATCGATAAGACGATTGTCGTTAGGAATCACAATTGATAATAAGAATGTCGATATGAATCTTAATTGATATATGACATGTCGATATGAATCTTAATCGATATATGACATGTCGATATAAATCTTAATCAATAATAAGAATGTCGTTAGAATCTTAATCGATCATAAGAATATCTTTAGGAATTACAATCGATAATAAGAATGTCGATTTAAATCTTAATCGATAATGATCATATTAAAAGGAATCACAATCAATAATAAACATGTCGATAGGAATCACAATTGATAATAAGAATATTTGTATTAATCACAATCGATAGCAAGAATGTCGATATGAATTACAATACATTAATAAGAATGTCGATATGAATTACAATAGATAAATAAGAATGTCGATAGGATTCAAAAACGTTAATAATAATGTTGATAGGAATCACAATCGGTAATAAGAATGTCGATATATCGCAGTTGTTTCTAAAATCGAAAACAGTCATGGTTACATTATTTATGCGTATACGCGTTTTATTTATAGACCCGTTTATTTTAGTATTATAATAACTTTCTTGTTTTTGGCAGTTCTGTGGGCAGTAGTAAATAACGCTGGCATTGCAGTTTTTCAAGAAATAGAATGGTGTGCTGTAGAACAGTTTCAACAACTACTAGATGTAAACGTTTTGGGCGTTGTTAGAGTAACTAAAGCTACTCTACCTCTACTGAGAGAGGGAGGAGGAAGAGTAATTAACGTTGCAAGTCTGGCAGGTATAATTTATTACTAAAAAGAACTTATCGATTTGTAAGGAACAGCACACGTGTATTTTGAGATAAACAGACAGCAGTCTGGAAATGAAGGAAAACATTTTTGACGGTTTTTTTGGAGGTAAAAGTATATTTTTTAACATTTATTTGACACTCTAACGTTTGGGTTTTGGCAATCTAGTCGCCGGAGGTCATCAAGAAAAACGATTCTAACATATCAGATTAATATGTTTTATAAATCTAATACTATTGGGCTGACATCACAGCCCGTGCTCTTCTAGAGTATCTTTCGCATCATGTATCACTGTTCCCACTCTGACAACGATTTTAAAAACACATTTTGATACTCTGTTTGAAATTGTATTGTTTTGGCTTTGAACTAAGATTTTAGATTTCAGAGAAACTTACTTCCCTTGTAAGAGCAGTTCTTATCTGAATGTGTTTTGTCAGTTTTGACGGTGAAATAAAACGCTTACTTTCGTCGATTGTATTAATTGAAATGACTGATACCAGCGAACCTTACTTTATTTGTAAACGAAATCAGATGTTAAAATTCCACTTTTCTTAAAGTCGGAACGCCTTGAAGAAAATTCAAGCTTCGAAAAACACAATCAACTTCATGCTATTATTTATTTAGCCAAATCATAATTAGATTAAACTGCAGACATCATTTGAAGAATTGATACATTGTTTTTTTTAACACTGAATTTGCTGGTCAATTCTAAATCAAAACGAGATTTTTGGGGCGATTGCATTTACCTCGGCCGTTTTAGTTAGACGTGACCTTGAATACGTTACGAGGCCTGTGGGTCAATCGAGTGCGATAAATGAGCTTGTCTTCCCTAATTCATTTATAACACAAATAAATATAAAGAACGCATTCATAATTTGTACTTGTGATGTTAAAGAAGATTGAATGGTTTCCCACTGCATATATTTAAACTACACTCTAATTCGTGACATATCAAGGATTTATGGAAAAATTTGTTGTACTGTATACGTTGTTATATGAAAAATAATCAGTAGATAAATAAATTTCGTTAAAATCATTACACAGGCTGTGAATTTTGGCAGCATTTAATGAATGGTTCTCAAATATATTTGGTCTTCAATTTTGTTTTGTTTTCCTTTTTCAAGTGTTTTTAGTTATAACCACTGAGATGCACGGTAAATAATTTAAATACAATATTTGTACATGTTTTACTTCAAACATGTAGAAGTAATTAGAATCAAACACGTTAAGAGAAAAAATAGCAAACAGTCTGCTGATGAAAAGGCCATCGTTTTATAGACATTTGCTAAGCGAGAAAAATCTATGTTTTGATTTTGGAGATTTGATGATTTTAAGACAATTTTTAAACGTTTTTAACGATTTGAGGAGTTTTCTATATAGTTGTAAATCTATATGGAAGAATTCAGAAAATAATATTGTAGAAAATAAGAAAAATTATTATTTTTTCGATTTTCAGCTATTAGTTAAACATACCGCAGTTGTAAGCAAAATTTAAAACAGTCTGTGACATGACCCATTTACTGTAACTTGACCTTAAGCAATATCTCTTCAAATCGATAGATATACAAAACATATCAGGACATTATCTCTACTTATAGTCAATTGACAAATATATTGTTACAAAAGAAATATGTTCATATCATGACCACGCATTTTGTTGAATGTGAGAGGAATGGTGCAGGAGCACTCAAATCAGGTTTACCGCGACAATAAATAAAAAAGAAAGCAAAAAAAAAAAGCAACTGCAAACACATGTAACTGGAACCGCATAAGTTGATTTGTATCTTGGAGTGAGAAGTACGGAGATAAACAATCTCAATAAACTAATGTAAAAATACTTTGTATGTAGAAAACCTAACGTTTTCTAATTTTACAAAATATGTTAGTGTGCTTAATGAATATTATTTTACTACAAGGCCCTAAAGACATTATCACAAGTAGTTATGTCTATGTTGCAAGGTTTAATATTTGGACCATTGTAATGGTTTATGAAGGTCTGGATTATTTGTGTTTTCCCCAAGAGTTAACTACATACATGTATATTCAAAGTTAATTAAAATCGTAAAAGGTCAAAGTCGTGCGTTATTATAATTGCAATGTTTTTTTAATAACATATGACAAACACAACCCCAATCAGTTAAGAAAATTTCATTACCTCATAAATTTTGTATCAATTAATAAAAGAGAAATTTCGGGAGCAGTAACATATTATCTTAAATAGAATTCGTAAGACAGGCTTTAGAGGATTTTTGTTGTTTTGATTATCTAGTAAAACTACTCATTGGTATAGAAATCAATGTTTCTATTTTATACGAAGTAATAATTTAAGACATATATATGACCTAAGTTCAAATATTCCATAAAAAGTACCTAATTTCTTAGCGATTTTCAAAGACTTTATGATGTATATTTTTTATATTATTATCTCAGACCACCAAAAACAATCCCCCAAGGGTGACTGAGGAAAACAAATATGGTCACTTAGGCATTCTTCCAACCGGCAGTAAAACCCTTGCCAAAGTGGGGTATTTTGGATAAGGACAGAAATTTTGCCTTGTAACAGGCCACCTACGAACCCCTCAAAGAGTTATAGCAAGGCTACGTAACGTGCAAAGAGCGTGGCTCTCTTTTTACACGAGGTATCGGATTTAACGTCCTCATTCTGACCGTACGTGACTGCGTACTTGTACATCCTGATCAGCCAAACGGACGCCCCCATTTTCTAGTGGCAGTCCAAATTCCCCCGACCTTCATCCCGGACGACCTCTATTACAGGACTTCTATTACTTCTGGCAAGAATTCAACTGCATAACAAAGTGTGATAATATAACGATGAAACTCCTATATATCCAATATGTCAGGCATGGTACAATATGATTAAAAGGAGTTGGATTATCCAAATACTTCGTCAACCAAGACAAAGGATTTAGATTTTCCAAACACTTCGTCCACTAAGACTAAGTACAATCCTTTATCATTATCTATCACTTTATATTGCAGGCCGATTCACTGTCCCAGCATTTGCTGCATATTCAATGTCTAAAAAGGCTTGTATTGCATTTTCTGATGGATTGAGACAAGAAATGGCAAAGTTTGGAGTACGTGTCATTACTGTAGAACCCGGATTATACAAGTGAGTCATTGGTTTTAAATTTTACATTTTCAATCGGCGTGTTTCACGTCACAGCATTTGTTTTTGTCTATTTTTGCTCACAATTTGTCCAAGTTGTCATACGGTATGCGTCTATATTTAATTTGCGCACAATTTGTTCAAGTTTGTCATACGGTTTGCGTCTATATTGAATTTACTCACAGTTTGTCCAAGTTTGTCATATGAACCAATTGTTTTGACCAAAATGGAACAACAAACGTACGAGGACTGCGGGAAAAAAAAACAAGGAAACAATAAAGCACATAGTTTGTCTGTCTTATTAAAATAAGTTGTCGTGTGTAGTATCATCCTCATTATTATTATTATTATCCAATTTCAGAACTCCGATAGCATCAGAAGAATATCTTATCACGCAAAATAGGAAATCCTGGGCAGAGACACCATCCGAGATAAAAGATGTGTATGGGGAAGAATATTTTGAATCGTTTTTAGAGACAATATCAAAACAGATGAAGCGTGCTAGGAGTAATGTTGAGGAGGTGATCGACCAGATGGTAGAAGCCGTCACTAGAGAGAATCCGAAATGTAGATATGTACCTCACTGGCTTACATATATTCGAGCGACGGTGCTGATGTACTTACCGCAAAGTGTCACTGATGCTTTCTTTAGAAAGACTTACAAAGTTAAAGGACCAGTTCACGTAAAGAAACAATGATTTGAAAAATTTGGTCGCTAGTGTATATCCAATACTGGTGAACGTAAACGTATGTAGTAAAGATACGGAATAGAAATGCTAAAGAGGTGTTTTCTCCGGATTCGGAAGTCGTTCTTTTTTCCTCACGCTATAGTGAATTCTTTAAGCTGACTGATTAGGTTACTAGTGTACGATTAACCTATATTTAGGTTACAGTACACACAAGGTGATTCAGGAAAAATGACTCAGTCTGATTTGCCAATGATTTTTCACGATTATTCTCTGTATATATTTAATAGAAAATTACAGGACAGAACGGAATGAGATTCATTCGCAGACAACATGTCGTAAATTAGCATGTTATCCTCCCGAATCATTTTTCTAAGCCTTGGATCATGTGTCACTGCCTCATAGTAGTCGGACTACTGACGTGGAGAAGAGGTTTGGTCAGGAGCTTTCTTAGCCTGGGATCCTGTCTCACTGCCCCACAGTAGACGGACTACTGACGTGGAGAAGAGGTTTGGTCAGGAACTTCCTTAGCATGGGATCCTGTCTCACTGCCCCACAGTAAACGGACTACTGACGTGGAGAAGAGGTTTGGTCAGGAGCACATGCTTACTAATATTGACGATGCATTAGCTACACGTTCGACGTAAGAAAGAGTTACTTTTTCACCACCTTGTGTGTAATGTAAACCATCCTTTAAAACAGCTCAATTTAACTAACATTTACCAATAAAAAGTCGACAACATTGTCAATTTTATTATTTTGTAATTTTTTATTAAATTTATCTTTTTATAGTCTATTTAACTAGGCTTCGTTGTGATTTTAGGCTTGAAAACGGAAGGCCATATTTCAAAATGTTTTGTTTTTGTTACAGGGCAAGACTACCGGTATTGAAAGTGATTATCTTTGTTTTTTCATTGTCGTTTTTTGTTGTTGAAAATTTGGCTAAATTGTTTTACTGATAAGTTGTCGTCTTTGTCCAATTTTTTGATAATTTACTTGTCTAGTCTCAGGGAGATTTTGGACTTGTCACACGATGTTGGCGATTGTCCATTGTGGACGATCGTATTGTGACCTGTATATATTTACTATTTTTTTTATTTTTCTTAATGTGTTTTGTTTTTTTCGTTGTGATTTTTACTTTTATAAATATTTGTAAATGTCCATTTCACAATGTTTTGCATAATTCAGTGTTCAGACTTCATCTATGAACAATTTCTATAAAATCTGTTTTATAATATGCTGTTAAAACTTTAGATATACAGCGCTTAGAAATTCCTTTCATCTCCTTCCTTGACATTCTTAAAAGTCTTGACTAGTATATTCAGTGAAAATAAAGTTATGAAAGACGGTGCATGTTAACAAAAAACGTTTGTATTTAAAATCAATATTTTATATTATGTAGTCTTATTTTTTTTTCTCTCTCTATCACATCAGACGCCCTTGTCACTCTCTATCACATCAGACGCCCTTGTCACTCTCTATCACATCAGACGCCCTTGTCAATGATAAATTTGAATAATGATTGTTGATGGTATATAATGACACATAACAGATAATCTGAAATATCCCGCAAAACTATGGTAATAACATAAAGAAGTTGTGTTCTATACAATTAACTTGTCCACTCTCCGTAGTGCTATGGGCTTTTTGATAAATGGAGCAACACATGACATTAGATCAGGTGTTGATGAAAAGATTTGTCTTTATTTTCATTTTTCATAATTATATAGTTTTTTATATGTTTATAAATATTATTTTCAAATTCTAGAGCTTTATTTTTAGACAGGTGGAAAAAGAAGTGTACTCCATCCTCATTACATGCAAACTACAATATAGGCAGGTGCTGTTTTCTCCTTGATTTTTTATAAATGCCCTCTACAATTTAGAAGAAAATCACTACGCTTCATAGATTGCAAAGATTTCTTTTTTCAAATCTTGTTTCGGATAATCTTATAATTAGTTTTAATTTTTCTATCTTATTAAAGATCTTATTTATGATCTGCAACCGAATTCAATTCAGAAAAAAAACTTTTCTCATGATTGCATTAAATTTGTTTTTAAAAGCCGTGTACATGTATTACATTTTCAGCATTAGCCCGGTGGACAAAGTCTTGCTTTGACAGTCAATTATAAATTATGAATAAGAATTCAAAGGTATTTAAAGTTATAAATCATGACAATTAAAGTTAAATTGAGATTTGTTGTTATTTTTTTTTAAAAGCATATACATTGTTATTAGTTGTCAATATATCAAAGACAAATTTCATTTTAATTGTTCAAAGCTTTAAATAGTCCTTGTCTTGGCTAATATGTTTTTAATGCTTTAAGAAAAGTATTTTCACAAAGGAATATTTCAATCCATTAAGGATTACAAAATGTATCGTTTATAAATTCTGCTTGTTTTTATTCATATTTCATAAAATTGTAATAATATTTGTCATTTTTCGAAATATTCAAATGTGTATTGGTGTTTTGGCTAATATTCGAGGTTGTTTTGAATATATACGATCGGCAAAGGGATGCACCTATCACAAATATTCTTCTTTTCTAAATTCAACAATTTTAACCACTTTTAAATTCTCTTAATGTCTTGTTCGTTCCCCTGCTTTAACCCTTTCCACAGTTCTCCAATTATTTCCATCTCCCCCATATATTTTCGTGGGACCGGTCCAGTCACAGTTGGAATTTTTATACATGTTCGTGACAGGTGTTCTTACGTGTATCTTTTGTTATATGATTATTAAAATTTGTATGGCGACAAATTTATATTCTGTACCGATCAGTACAATGGCTTGAATATTTAATTACATATATACAACCAATATATAATTGTATTTTGTTATATAATTCAATCTATTCTTACGTATTATTATAGTATTTATTATGTAAGATTCACTATACAATAAGGCACTGGAAACCAGATAATGCATTTTGTTTCTTATTTGTAAAATTCATTAAAATGAATACAATAAACACGACATAACTTTGTTTGGAAGTTATATAAAACTTTATTTCCTTTTTTTTTCTTATCAGTTTTCAAGTCAGTTTACTCTACTGTCCAAGTCCTACTTTTCAGTGACGTGTGAAGTTTGCACGTGCCGTTGTCGTGCATCAGTGCTGGTCTTTTTTTCTGTTTAGGGCTGTATCTTTCATGTTCTGATCAGTGGACTTTCGGCGTTCTAATTATTTTTAGGTTGAGTCTTTGCTTATTTAAAAGACGTTACAATATTGTTGATCATTGTTGTAAGTCACAGCGGTATCATCTTCAGAAAAGAGGGTAGATATTTTTGAAATAACTATAATGTGCTCTGAAGACTAACCTCTGTAAATCAATTTTCCTTTTGAATTAAAAAATACAGACTTTTGGGAAGAGGTGATTTGGTTTGTGTGTGTGGTCATTTCTTTTGTTTTTATGCAAGCTTTTAGGAAGATGTGATTTGGTTTGTGCGTGTGATCTATGTGTCTGAATATATTCAAGTTTCGGGAAGAGTGCATGTGGTCTATTTGTCTGAATATATGCAAGTTTTCGGGAAGAGGGGATTTGGTTTGTGTATGTTGCCTATGCTCTGTATATATGCAAGTTTTCGGCAATAGGGGATTTGTTTAGAGCGTGGTTTAATTATCATGACAGTATTTTTACACTAAGGTTACTTTAATAAATCACCACGTGGTAGCTTTTTTTTGGTCCCATAGGCTCCCTTTATCACCGTATGTTATAAAGATAATGAGATGTTGTATGATTGCCAATGAGACAACTATCCACCAGAGACCAAATGAAGTGGATGCAAGCAATTATAGGTCATATACAAAAACGAATATCGTATAATACTAGTAAGCTTAAAATTTGTCCCGACATGACAAAATGTAAAACAATTAAAACGAGAAAATCAACATGTTAGTCTGTCAGTTAGTCCGTCTGATACCAACATGTTAGTCTGTCTGTTAGTTTGTCTGATACCAACATTTTAGTCTGTCAGTTAGTCCGTCTGATACCAACATGTTAGTCTGTCTGTTAGTCCTTCTGATACCAACATGTTAGTCTGTCTGTTAGTCCGTCTGATTCCAACATGTTAGTCTGTCAGTTAGTCCGTCTGATACCAACATGTTAGTCTGTCTGTTAGTCCTTCTGAAACAAACATGTTAGTCTGTCAGTTAGTCCGTCTGAAACAAACATGTTAGTCTGTCAGTTAGTCCGTCTAATACCAACATGTTAGTCTGTCTGTTAGTCCGTCTGATTCCAACATGTTAGTCTGTCAGTTAGTCCGTCTGATACCAACATGTTAGTCTGTCTGTTAGTCCTTCTGATACCAACATGTTAGTCTGTCTGTTAGTCCGTCTGATACCAACATGTTAGTCTGTCTGTTAGTCCTTCTGATACCAACATGTTAGTCTGTCAGTTAGTCCGTCTGATACCAACATGTTAGTCTGTCAGTTAGTCCGTTTCCAACATGTTAGTCTGTCAGTTAGTCCGTCTGATACCAACATGTTAGTCTGTCAGATAGTCGGTCTGATTCCAACATGTTAGTCTGTCTGTTAGTCCGTCTGATACCAACATGTTAGTCTGTCAGTTAGTCCGTCTGATACCAACATGTAAGTCTGTCTGTTAGTCCGTCTGATTCCAACATGTTAGTCTGTCAGTTAGTCCGTCTGATACCAACACGTTAGTCTGTCTGTTAGTCCGTCTGATACCAACATGTTAGTCTGTCAGTTAGTCCGTCTGAATACATTTTCAGCACTTATTTCTACAATGGGTAGAATAGTTTATTTGGAAAGGAAAAGTATTTAGAGTTTTACTACTTAAATCTGATTACGATTAAGTTTTTATTAAAATTGATTTTATTTTACAGAATTTTGACCTAAGACTAAACAATGGATTCTTCATGATTAGATATTACTTTGACCGGTAGTTGATATATACTGTTTTTTAGCTATTCTTGAAAAGGTATGTTGCGCATATTGTTTTTGAATATCGCCGGGATTCAGTCATACATTTTAATTTGCATACAGCCAGTAGGACTTTGGGTTATTTTTGTCGCTTGGTTGCTGTCTCATTGACGTCTACTTTTATTGATAACTGTTGAAATAACTGTGAGGCATTGAATTGTAGGTCTATCTTTTGTGGTTACGGCATTTCTTTTAAATTTAGATTTTTTTGTGAAGCACTGTGGCACCGTTAAAGTCCACAATTCCTCTAAAGTCCACAACACCGCTAAAGTCCACAACTCCGCTAAAGTCCACAAACTTTCCGCTAAAGTCCACAAAATAACCTCCGCTAAAGTCCACAAGAAAACGCCGTTAAAGTCCACAATAATAAGTTCCACTAAAGTCCACAAAATACGCCGTTAAAGTCCACACAACTTTTTTTATTATTAGAATATCAATTCGCTTTTTTTTTATCCCGGTAGTACAATACAAAGCATGGGCTTTTGTTCTTGGTAGTTATTTTTTATCAGTTTGATAAATGAAAAAAAGTATCTGTAGAAGATTTTGTTCCATTAATTTGATCTTTGTATTATGATGATCCGATCAATGAATCAAACAAGCCAATATGGACATCATTTCTGAAAAGTTATCTAGTCATAGTAAATTCGTTAGTTATTACATAATTACTGGAATCTTCAAGTGCTGTTTTTTTTTTATTCTTTGTATATAATCACTGTTTTACGTCACTATAAATGTACAGAGCAAAAATTGTTACTAAACATAAGCACATGGACATGGGGTCATAATAATGTATCCTGCACTCGCCTCCAGCTTTTTTTTCAACTTTTATATAGTTTGCCGATATAAAAATAGCTGGATAGTAAAACAGCACAAATAAGTAAAAATATCAGTATAGATGACCAGGAATAGATAGGTAAACGTCATTTGTATAAATGGCTTTAAATCAGAACTTTTACAAAATATTGCCTCGTAAAAAAGAGGGAGGACAGGGTATATCATCGTGACCCAATGTACCTGTGTAAATAAGATTTGGTATGAGTGCCAATGAGACCACTCTCCATCCAATATTTTTGTATGATAATTGCTATCGGATTAACGTTATTAAGAACCTACATTGTATACATGATCATTATAACAAGACTGGACACACTTAAATGTCTTCCCTGTTTTAGTGTTTATAATTGAAGTTTTTTGAAAGTGAACAATTTTTTTTACACCAAGCAAAATTATCAATGAACATGATCAATGAACATGATGTCAAGGTGAGATAAATCTTTTCAGACAGACATGGAGGCCGTATAAATTCATCCCATGATATACCAAATTAAGTTAGCTATCGCTTAAAGTAACTCGGAAGCAAACATCATCAAGAAATAAGAACTTTGACTAATGAACCATTAAATTAGGTCAAGGAAATATGTCACAGACCAGACAGACAGTCATGTACACCTTACAACCATTCAATACACAAGATGTATACATGACTTTAATATCACTTATAATATCTGAGAAACTGTCATATATTTAGCATTTCATTTTAATTCTATCAGTCTTCTCACAAAGAAACAGCTGGCTTGACGGTTTTAGTTCCTAAATTTTCTAAAAACTTATCTTCCAACATTATTTGCATTTCAAATAACTTCAATTTCAGTGAGCTTTTTAACTCAATTTCATACTTAATACAGGAGATTAACTGATAAAGTTACAATGTAGCGTGACTTTTGTATTTAGTTAAAGTTTTTATTTCATTTTTAAACTCTAGATTTGACAAATTTCTTAAAATTAGACAGACGGCGCGCGTACGGTCCGACCGTATACGTACTTTGAATAAGTTCGTCTACGGTTCAGACCATATACGCGTATATTCTAAATGCACATCCGTACATTGGATTTGATGTGATTAAAGTGATTACAATTTGATATAATTAGTAGGTGAACTACTAAAAAAATGTAAAAAACAATTACATCATAAAGTTATGTTGATTTTTACAAAAAGAGGAAGAAGTTATATTTTCATTTAATTAATGCAGAATGCCTGTCTATCAGTTACTTGCTAGTTATTATAAAAGGCAGTGTTAGATTTTTAACACGAATGAAATAGCTAGATAAGAATTCTGAGTATTCGTACATTTAATTTAGTTTTGAATTTACCTTGTTCACCAATAACGAAGTACATGATTGTTTTACTGAGAATGTGTACGGTACAGGGTCCTAAAGATGTAAATTTCGGTATAAGATTATGAGTAAAGGGTTATATCGAAGCCGTTATTGTACGGTTGAAAGCCAAGTCAAGTACATGACCCTGTTGGTCATGTAAGCTATGTAAGATGTTAAATTTTCCTACGAAGCTTCAGTAGAATGGATGTGAAGACTTAGTTTAAAGAAATGCATCTCCATGGGGACCGAGCACTGGAGGTCCAAAGTTTAGAATACGCTTCAATAGAAAAAACTTAAACTATGTGTTCCTTAAAACCAACAATGATCATATTTAGGTCAAGTGAACAATACAAGCTTAAGATCACATGATACTCTAGTTTTAATAATATTTAGATATGTATATGTTGTACAGAATTTCCTGTTGTTTATTAAATTTGAATGTTCATTCTATACTTCATTATTATCAATTCTCATAAAACCAAAAAACGAAAGTAATGTTGATCGCCTTTCTTATTTTTTTTGATACCAAACAAATCAAGGGAAGGAACTAAGACACGATCAGCCACTTTGATTTGTTTAGTAATTCCTGTGAAACTTGAAATCAGAGTAATATTTTAATTTTGATGTTGTCAATTGGAAATGTTTGCATACCAGGTCATTCGACCTATTAACTGATTAACCGGAAGTAAAGTGGGTGGTCAAAGGTCTTGTTTAAAGTAATCTGCAAAGGACCGTTTTGGCTGCTGTGGAGCATAACAGAAACTGAATGGATTTCGTTCTTATGTTTTATAGATATTTGCAAGTTCATGGTATTAGAGTCTGATGATTTTCTCATCTAAATCTGAAACCTAGTTTATGCAAGTTCAGCCAATTTTATTTAGAAGTGT